ATTTCACGGACCAGGCGCTGGAAGGGTAATTTGCGGATGAGCAGCTCAGTAGATTTCTGATAGCGGCGGATCTCTCGCAAGGCTACGGTACCAGGTCGGTAACGATGAGGTTTTTTTACTCCCCCAGTAGCAGGAGCGCTCTTCCGGGCAGCTTTGGTAGCCAACTGTTTACGGGGGGCTTTGCCACCGGTAGACTTACGGGCGGTCTGCTTTGTTCTGGCCATTTTCAACAACGCAGTCTTACCTCTCGAAGACAAATGGGAAAACTAGTAACTGCTTTATCACTGGAGGTATTTATAGGCAAACTCTCCTTTCTGATTGGCTGATCGGAAGGATTCATATGTCATTGGATATTTTGAAAATTTGAAAACCCCGCTTTTTAATAGACAAATGAGACATTTCCCGCCTCGCCACCATCCTAGCACTTACTGTTTTTTGTTTTGTTTTGGAAAACGGCTTCCGGGGGCGGGAGGACGGACATGTTCTGTGAAATTCACGATTCTTGGACTACACCAGCATAGGTGTTTTTTAAATATTTTCTCTCTCTGAAATATCACTTTACAAAGCCATTCCTTATTTCCATGCACTTAAAAAAAAAAACGGAGGCTCCATGTCTCACTATTAGGCTTGCAAAATTTCCAGCTTGCAAGACGTCTGCTGCTGCCGAGGGAACTAGCTAGACAGACTGTGATCAAGGACACCAAACTTTCTCCACCTGGAGGATTTCTCCTGCAGAAAGTGTTCCGAACTACTCACCTTGCAGTAAAAGAGCTGTAATACTGGACTTTAAATCGTTTATTTGCGTATATTGCAAGTTCTATATATAATTGGAGCCAAATTAGGCTTTTGTGTGTTCTCCTGAACCCTTACATTTATCATTAGCATTTTCATTGTTTCAACCTGACTGTGATTGTTTTTTTTTCCTGACATGTAATGAAGGAACTATAGAACACAGATTTTCCTATGTTTCATATAAATCAATGGATATTAACTTATTACTTTAAAAAGAATATTAAGATTAAGTAATAAGTGTACTTTTCTTTCGTTGGGCATTATTAGTATATAATTTGTCCAATAGATTGAAAATCTCTTGGATATTGTTTTAATTTGTGGCTATTTAGGTGGCAGCACAAATATCCTTCAATTTTCCCCCCTCTCAGACTTAGGGGCACTCTGCCTCCATGAAGGACTGCTTTACTCTCCTTCTGTCCCGCCTTAAACCTTAATCAAACCAATACATTCTGAAATGGTAATCCCTTGCAATACTTAAGTTGTAAAAGGCACTAGTTTTTCTGTCTACATTTTCATCCTGATATATCTTTGCTCACAAGAATCAACCTGGCTTAATATGAGGTCCGAAGCAGCAGACAAATGGGATACAAACCAAAAGATATATTAAAAAAAAGAACAGGAGTACTTGTGGCACCTTAGCGACTAACAAAAGATATCAGTCTCCCTTTCTCCCTCTTCCTCTCCCACAATAAATGTTTCAGGCCTTCTACAGACAACAGACTCCATTTTCTGCTCAAAGTTGAGCATCACACTTGCAAATCATTAAAAAGTATTGTCAGTAATTTTTCCTGTTCCACACAATTTATAACTAGTTCTTACATTCCTTCACCTGTAAAAAAAGATTAGAGCCATATTAACACAATGCAGGGAAAGACTAATATACAACAGCAGGCTTAAGGGTAGTCAACCGTATGAACCTACAAAATCTGTGGCTTTTCATGTAATAATCACATACTATTTTTTTAAACAGAAAAACTGCCTCTTTCAGTCCCACAATGGACTGTGCTCATGGAATAAGCCTAAATTAGGTGGAATCATGCCTCAGTTTCCCACCTTATACAGTGCTTTCATTTAGTTCCACCCTTAATTGTACTAAATCCTCTGATTGGTGACCTCTTAAAACTGTCCGAAATGGTTGAAAGGTGGCAGCATGTTATTTTGTAACTAAGTTGTTGAAAGAAAGAATTAAAGGAGTCTGAAAAACTGTATTTTCTAGGTAACTTGCAATATTCAGTGCCATCCTTCCTTCCTCCTCACACATCACCCCATCCCTTTAAGGAGCACCCTTACAAATTTCCCAATCAAGTCCCCTATTAGGAGAACCCATACCCCACTATCCAGACAGTATTTTCCACCCTTTGCTTTCTGGGGTGTGAGCAATGACACAGAAGCTTGTATTACAGGAAGGCTCATCTATCTTGTGAAAGTTGTCATTTATCACCCCAGTTTAGCAAACCTCCACATGCAAATTTCATTTCTGCCAGTGAAACCCAGACCTTCTGTCACTAAAACAAACCCAATTCCCCAAAGGGAGATAAGTCCTCTGTTGAAATATTTCTGTCAGCAAAAAGTCAATGTAGTTACTGCATTACCTGTGCCAGTACAAAACATTTCCCCAGCTACAGTCCCACTATGCCTTTGCCAGGACAGGGATTGCTCTCAGCACAATTTTGAACTCCACTGACCAGGGTTCAGAGTAGTAATGGTTATAGGTTTCTTCATTTCATTTCAGACAAACGTAGGGTGACCAGACAGCAAGTGTGAAAAATTGGGATGGGAGTGGAGGGTAATAGGAGCCTATATAAGAAAAAGACCCCAAAATTGGGACTGTCCCTATAAAATCGGGACATCTGGTCACCCTACACAAACGTAACTCAAGATACAGAAGACCATTACTCCCTTAAATCTGAGCATAAATAATCTGCCAATGTACATAGATTATATTTTTATATTCTTTATTACAGATTAACACATTTAACTTCAACACACCCCTTCCTTGCCATTTCTATCCTGCACACATGCATCACTTCTCACCTGCTCTGATTCAGTTTTACAGTCAATCCCCTAAAGCTACATTCTTCTGGGCCTTTCCCAAGTTCACCTTTACATTGATGATGCATTGTGAAGCCCTTATTCTCAATCCTTGTTCCCTTTCCCATACACTTTCTATATATAGCTGAAAATATTTTAGATAGATCTATAAGATAAAGCTGTGAGTACCTATAATTCATACTGCAATGTAAAGCAAACAGTAGAAGGAAGCTTTAACCCACCATTTGTCTCTCCAAGGGAGCTATTTTCCAATAGCTGCAAAATGAGGTAATTCAGTTCCAGATATTGTG